GACTTTAGGCATAAATATTGTCAAGCACATTGTCTGACTCCAAATATAGATACAGGTCCTTAACCAGAGCTATTATATTTCTGAAATTATTGTGGGTTTGTGTGTTTTTTTTTTTCCTTCTTTTTTTTTCTTTTTTTTTTTCTTACTTTCTTAAAGGGGTTCAGTTTCCTGATATAAAATATGTATATTCAGTACTGCATTATCACAAGCATTTTCTCTCCTCTTTTATGTTTGTGGGGAAAAAAAATATCTTCAGAATAGCTCACTCTCGCTATCTTTTTTCAGGTTAGGAGGTAATCAGTTACTCGAGGCCCTCTGTAGCTAATGATTATGTCACTTATTTTGCTGGCCATTGTAGGGGTATTGATAAATGTGGCACTCCTGAAGGTAAGGTTATTCTGAAAACATCTTCCTCCCTGACACTTGCTCTCTTTGTTGAAGAGAAGCCAAGTACACCTACTGCAAGCAGAATTACTTTCTAGTTAATGACATACTACAATAAACCTGGAAGAGCTATATTTGTGTGGGTTTGTTTGTTTAAGAAAGGTAATTCTGCTCAGGAATACTAAGGAAAAAGTTCAGACAAACTTGTTTTTTATTACTTTATGCGAAAGTGTTTTTCAAACCTTTTTAGAGACTATATTTAAATCTTGCAGAGTCATGGAAAGTAGCTCACTTGGCTTCTTCAATATACAAGCATTTAAAGTAGCAGTGACACACAGAGATTCCTGGTAAATCCACACTTGGAATCCAAATGCCCAAGTTTCCACTGCATCTGCAGACTAGTGCATGCCTAAAGGTACAGGTATTACATACCTTTCCTGAGAGACAAGGGAGCATTGCTAACTTACTCATTATAAAATGAACTCGTACTTGTTACTTGGCATTCTGCAAATCTGCAAGGATATTTTATTAGCCACTAAATACATTAGTACTATTTACATCCCTAAATGCTCCATTTTTAATAAGCTACCCTATCACCTGATGTAACAGTAAAATTACAAAGATCTTATTCATGAAATCAAACAGATCTTCCTGGCATTCTAACCAGGTTCATAATAGACACATTCTCTTTTCAATTATTTATTTTGAGCAATTTTGTAGAGCTCCTGCTGCATTTAGGTCCTTGTCTACCTTGAAATCATTACCTGGGTGTATGTAACAAAACAGAATTAAAATGGATTATGCAAAAACTGAATGCTCAGTAGTCTAATACATGCACTCCCATACCTCTCTCATCAATAGTTAAAGGAACTCAGCAATATTGTTGGCAAGATACTGCAAAAAGAGTTGAAGCAACCTCATGCTTGCATTAATTTTTATTTCAAAAATGTATAGATGGTAATTTCTTATATATCATATCCTCTCTGTCTAATTAAAGTAGAAGATAAAATATATCAGACTTGTTATTAGATCTAGACATGAAACAGTTAACAGCAGTGCACATGCCAAGGTTTTAATAAGGCTTAACAATAAAAAGCTTCAATCCTCCACTTTCACTAGATTTTGTTGTTGTGGTTTTCCCTTGCTTAGGGCAATCCATCTGTTAATGTTGACTTGCAATATAGTTAAGCTCACACACGTATAAAAAGCCTAGAACAGCTAACCTAAGCAAGAGTAAGCTCAAAAGAATATTACAGAGATAGAACAATTCATCTTAGGTAAAGATTAATTGTGTGTATGTGAGTGTGCATGCACACAAGCACGAGTGTGCTCATGTTATTTTTACTTTATTTTTTTTAGGAAAGATTTTCAAAATGAAAATTATAGGAGGGCAAGCTGACCACTACAGTTTGCAATAACACATTGAATTATTTATCCTCCAATTAGATTTTGACAGCTATTTTACATGCTATGATTTGTTTTGATTTACCGTTTTGTTGTTGTTGTTATTTTGTTTTTTAAAGCCTATTGCCGATCTGGCAAAAAAAATAATATAATAAAACCACTATGACAGAAGTGATAAAGCTTAGTAAATATTCATTGTTAAAAACCGCTCTGCACTGTGACCAGTGCTGGTATTCTCCCTGGGCCAAACTGGCCTTGTTTTCAATAAAACCAGAGAAGTATCCTTTCCCTTGAGCCCTGTTAGGCTGAGGCTGCAGTTGGAACTGTCATCTTCACACAAAAGCAAAGGGGCTGGGTTTTACAAACGCAAAGCCTAATTGGGAGATCTTCATGGCTGTACCCTTGACATTTATTAAAGCCTCATCAACAAAACAGGAAATAACCGTACTAATTAGCAGACCCACATACAAACTACTATTTATTGGGGTAAAAGCAGATTCACTTTCTGTTGTAAAGCAAACATCCCCAGCCCCCCAAACCCCGTTATAAACCAACCTTTAAAATGGTCTTTTAGAGCGAAGGAAACTTTTCTATCATACACAATGTTTCAAATGAAATACACTTTACAGTATCTCAGATAACTATTAGTTGGATTTAATTGTTTCCAAGCACTGGAGAATGAATAGCTCAACATATACATCTAACATGACACAAAATGTAGTAACAAATTCCTTATATTTACAAGTTTTAAAATAATATGAAAGAGAGAGAAAGTGCAGAGGTGCCTCTAGATTGGAACAACAAAATTATTAAAAAGCACTCTCTTCTGTTTGTTGTTTGTTTAGGTTTTGAGGGGATATTCAAATACATTGATGTTGCAATGTAATCAATACCCAGTCCCTATTTTAGATATCTATCAAAGTGCATGAACTGCCAGGTTAGCACTACTACTGCTATTGACACTCAAGGGTACTGTTTCAGAAATCTGGGGGGAAAGGTTCATCTGCAGCAAGAAACAGTTACAGAAAAAATATTAAATTTTTTAATAGTAGCAAACAATGAGATTCACTTGTTTTATGCTACAGATTCAGAACTAAATCATAGTCTCTCTTATGCGCTTGTGAATATCTACATATATTTTTTATTTGGGCGTAAAGTTTAAAATTAGCACCTAACTATAAAATAAATTGCATTTATTTTATCTTATTCAAACACTTAAAGGGGAAAAAACAAACAAACAACAACACAAAAAAATGTACGAGAAGCAACAGCAGACTTATTTGGGGGAAATCTTTGCTTTGTTTGCTTTTGGGGAGGAGGAAAACAGTGTAAACGAGAGGGGAAGGCAATGGTGTAAGACCAGAGTTCCAGGGAGAGACCACCCTGCTCCTTCCCCCAGCCTGGGCTCAGGTGGCATCTGGGAAGAGAGCTTAGAAGACCTGGGACATGCTGGATGCAGCACGGCTAGATTGTGGGCCATTAGTTACAGTGCTTTGCCTGTAAACAAACCCTATACATGTACATACCTGTATGTGTGTGTATATACATGCATGTGTAATACGTATAAATGCATACAGAGCTATGGAATTACACGCACTCTTTATGTCTTGTTTTCAAAATGACTGACACAAACAGCAATAATATTGGGATTTAGCACTATACAAACAAGCATACAGAAATTTAATTGTTGTGCCAGAACAAGACTTCAAGAGAAATGCTAAATTGCATGGAGGTAAATCATATTCTTTTGTAACCCTAGACTCCTGTACTTAGCAGCAGGCGGGACTACTACCATACTAGTAAAACACTGCTTTTATTTCCTTAATAAAAGCAGCCTATAGAAATTCACTGACTGTAAGAGTGCATTTGTGTTACATGTTTACACAGATACATACAATTGTAGATCGACCACACTAATCTGCCTATTTTGGTGTAGTGTGCTATATATTAAAATAAGTTATCAATTAGAAGTAATATTATAAGAACCCATTCCTGTTATTAACATTACAGTTCTAGAGTCATACACATAGCAAAGGATATCTTCTGTTCTGATACCCAGTGAAGAAAATGTGCTGTACAGAAGTTCCTGAAGGAACAGAGGCACCACAGTTGCCTATGCATAAAAATACACTGAGGGCACATAGCTTTAACACTTTATCACTGGCTTTAAAGGGATCATGAAAACATGTACAAACTAAACACTGCCTAAATAATTAAAGCAGAAAATCCTTTTGTTGTTTATAATACTACAAAAAATAATGACTTAACCCTAATGTACAATTTCAACATTATTTAGCAATAATCTGTATCAATTTTACACTACATTTCAAAAACTTTAGGGACAAAACTGAACTAATTCAGAACTAAATTGATTACATGCACAATTCAGTGTTATCATAGCGCTATCTAAAGTTTTTAAAAAAATGCTACTATATCAGCTGGACTGCATTTCTGTATTTTGTATCTGATGAAAATATATGCAGTAAAAATCCACATATAAAAATTCATTACAGGCATTAAAAGTACAATATAGCATAAAATCTATACCCACACATTAAAATTCACACATACACAGGCATTTGTTGAGTAAAACAGTATTACAATACCTACTTTATAGATATCTTTGAGATAAAACCATCAAAATGAATGCAGAGATATTAAAACACTTTTCCAAAGTTGAAACATTACACCTGTTACTGCAATTCAAGACTAGAACGGATTAGAGAACAAAAGGGTAAGAGATTGACACCGTATTAACTAGATGACTTAGTAAACTAGTAAGTCGTAACTATCTGAACAAGGCTAACAGCCATGCAACTGTCAAATCAATTTATTATAAATGCAATATTGATGAGTCCAACTATAAGAAACTTATTAAAAAAGCTTAACACAGATCTGTGAATAGAGCAGAAGGTGTTTTTTTGTGAGAAGCCGTTATCAAAAACAGCATTTAAGTCTAAATTAAATCTCAGATCTATACTGATAAATCTCCTGTTTCCCCCCCACCTCAACAGGGATGAAGCATGAATAGCATTTTTTTTCTACTTTTGAGCAGTATACTATGACAGAAGTATTGCTATAAACATAGCCTTTCAATCACACTATTTAAACACAGACAGTAATCTTAAACAGATTCACTGGTGCATTACAATAGCTGGAAAAAAATTTACTCATAATCATATGAATAAGGACAGAAGTTTCAGGAGCCTTACCTGTGCAAGTCTTCGTTTTTCTGAGTTTCCTCTTTTCTCATTATGCGATGTGTAGACTGAAGCACTCTGTACTGCACCAGTGCTGCAAGTTCCATACTCTTCCTCACTCTCCTATGCAACAAAACAGATTTAAATTTCTTTATTTATAATCATTATCTGCAAATGTACCCTTTACATTATGCATGCAGAAAGCATTCAAAATTATCTTGCCACAATCCATTACTGTCATGAAAATACCATCTGTAGTAAGAAAATCAAATTTAGCCTTTCAAGAAGCCAAATTATCAACATTGTCATTTAAAAGATGAATTGTTCAAATGTCTAGGAAGTATTTTTGAAAGCTTTCTTTAAATAGCATAAAAATATTTTTAAAATGCTTCTTTCTTCCTAAAGAAAAATCTCGAGTGGAAACAAAATGTTCAGGAGATGCAGCTACAAAACATGTAAAATGCCTTTTCTGATATTTCTGCAATGTCCCTTTTGCAAAATGAAACTATGTCTTCATTTTTGAACACTTCAATTGTTCACATACCTTACAAAACCAAACCAGACAACTACACCTTCTGAAATACATTGCACTGTAAGATTTCCATCTCAAATTCTCAGCTTGAAGCAAAGGCTTCAATTGTGATATCAAAGCAATCAACTTTATGAAAACATACATGCTGTTAATGTATCTTTGAAGACCTCTGTTGTTTTATGATAAAATATGCAAACAATAAAGAGATTATTCAGTGGATGCATCGAATGACAGATAGTTGCCAGAGGGCTCGTTATGAAAAATGTATCGTTGAACAAAGGGCTAAGCACATTTCAAAAGTCATTAAAAACACAAATCTCATGCGATTTGTAAAGTATAAGCTTCAAACATACATGAAGCAAGGTAAGAAAGTAAAAAATGTACTACATACCTTGTGTTTCAACTTACTCCTCACTTCTTGTATTCCTTGCCTTGCGTGATTTTTTGCCTAGAAAATTAAAAGACTTAGGTAGCTCTGTAAGACACTGGCTGTAGTCATGGAACATGCCTTAAGATACCATACTTATTTTACTTATTTTTTCTCTACTTATTTTTTACTTATCTTTTTTACATACCAGGTGCTATGAAAAGAAGGACAATAATCTATCACAAATTTCATATGTGCTTTGTCAGTATGTTTTATGTATTCGTGCTTTATCAGTATATTTAAGGTGTTTTTTCAGTACATGCATGCCAGTGTTGTAAAAACATATATGCTAAAAAAATCTCTGATATTACTGAAGATGAGCTAAAAATGGTCTTTAACATCAGTTCTTTTTTGCAAGTGGTCCTTTAAATTTAAAAGGCTATTTTAGCAGCAAGGCATGTTGGAAAAATGTTAAGATTTTCAAGATGACTGTTACAGTGTTCCAGTCTGGCAACTTGCAGGGCAACATCAATCTTAAGAGAAATGAAGTGATTTCATATGCAGATGGAGATTTCGCCCAGTGTTGCTGAACAGAATAGTGCTGCTATTTAGGGGAGAATTCTGTATGTATTAAAATAGTCAGCTAAGGATCACTGTTGCATAGAAAACAGCCAAGAATGTTCTTCAATAGAGAAATGAATTATCAGTACAGGATACCATGTACATGTGAAAAAAAGAAAGAATGAGGGAGGGAGAGAGGGAGATAGAGAGGAAAAAACAAGTATATATTGTGGTGAAGGGAACAAAAACAAACAAACAAAAAAAACCTAAGCCTAACAGAAGGGGTATTTTGCCTATATGAATACGGTTAATATAGCAAAGAGCTAGAAAAGTTTTCAAGATTGCCTTAAAAATAGGACGTTTTAAAATATGGTTGGGGGCATAAATCTGTGGAAACCACCTATTTTTGTACATTTTTCTGTACCTGGAAATTCAGAAAAAGAAAATCATTTTCTTGATTCAAGAGGTCAGAGAGTCTTTTTGATCCTTAAATCATACATCTATAAGCTCAATAACAGCACAATGGGGTGCCATGTAGCAGATGCTAAACTGAGAGCCACTTTTAACTTTGCAGTTCACACTCACTGCATTTGGATGCACTTAGGAGTGCTTTGTTCTAACACTGAGGGATGGTATCAATCACATTATTTACTCAAGGCTACCAAATAGTTATGTAGCAACTATGAAATGCATATTTCATTTCTCTAGTAGTAGGCTAGAGAAGGGCAACAGTATGAGAAATTAAAGGAGAATATCGTAAACAGACAGATCCTTAAAAAATTTACCAGTGTTCCTTAGCATAAACAGTAGTTCACTTAGAAGAATCTTGATTATCAAAGACAATTACCAAAATTGAGTGCTGGGAGATCATGTAACCACTGCCTAAGCTAATATAAACCAAAGAATAATAATTTCCGAATAACCCATTAATGAATAATTTTTTGAATTATAAATGAGTACATGAATATGAGTTATATTTAATTTATTTACCTGTTTTTCTCTTCATGACTGCTGTGTTTTGCAATTGATATAAAATTAAAAATTCTCTTTGAGAACTTTACTTGAAGTATACTAGCTTAGACTGATGTTCTGATTTATTCAGGACTACTTGTTATGCATCCAACTATTGAAACAGTTGGAAGAGCAAAAAGGAAGCTAAAAGTCTTTTCTCATATATCTAAAAATCTAACCTTAAAATACTTCCCATTTCATTTTAATCTCTTGCCTTTTTTTTCTTTCCATACCAGATAGTACCTTTTAATTTAACATGCTTTATTGGTTAGGCAGTATTTTAGACCAAGATATTTAAAGTTTAAAGGTATAAGCATTATATAGATAAACATGAGTATTCTGATATGATTTTTAAAACAGAAAATGACAAAAAAGACTGCTGCATGCATTTTTGATGCTCTACCACCTCTTTACAGTAGAGTAGCACTTAGTGCCAAAGAGAAATTCCATCTGTGTAAGCCAGGAGTCCATTTGTCCTGCACCATCTTCTGAATAGAGAAGATTTTCTGCATATGTTAATACTATACATGTTATAACTACATACTGTAATACTATATTTATAATTAAATGTAAATTTACAGAATGTTTTAGATTCATGTTAACTTTCCAATGCATGAGTTGCTACCGGACCTTAGTGTAAATGAGAATTTCTATTTTCAGTGTCCATATTTTGATCATGTTGTCATCATGTTAGGATTAATTTACAACCATGTATCAACCACCTAAATGATATTCAAATAAGCTCCCAGTGTGTATTATGATTGAAACAATAACAGTGCATTGACACTTTGAAAATATCTATTGTTATGTACAAGCTATCTGTAAGACACTGAACCAGTTCTAAACCCTGGTGCTCTATGAGAAAACGAATGAAGCCAAAAGCATTCTGCAGGCAGAAGTGTTTTTCTGCAAAACTTTTGTAAAATACTTCAGTTTTTCAGTATTCAGGAAGAATCAGAGGTGGTAGGTAGTTATGACATTTTTATGTAATACTTATTTAATATAGGTATCTTACAAATTTATATGCTGTTTTCACAGCCGGAGTGGCTTTGGTCATTGCTGTGTTGATCATTGCACCACCTTTCTGCAATGTACAAAACATTGTATATTAGTAAGATTTATAACATAAGTCAAAAGTTAAGACAACATCAAGGAAATCAACAGTGTGCCATAAAGAAATAACAATCTTAAATTAGTAAGAATAACCACAGCTGTGTTTCCTCCACAACCTACTTTCTGCAGATACAGGAGGGTTACAGTATGTCATTATCATAGCTGACACATTTATCAATGCATTCTAACAGAATGATGTATCTTCATTCTTCATTCACTGTTCCCATTTCAAAATCAATTCAGAAGTTCTGGCTATTCTTCATGTGCTCCTATCTTATATTATGTAACTCCGAAATACTTTGACCTGAAATAAATAACTAATCACACAAGAATTCTGTTAATCTAAAATAATATATTTTCCTAATCCTGAAGAACAACAAGGTTACACCAAGGGTCTTCTGCTAGTCAAACCATACAAATCCATATTAACTATATTGCTGTTTACTAGAAGTGATAAACTTCATATCAAATTGTGTTGTCACAACTAATTCACAGTTACGGAATGCAGTATGATAGGGAACGCACTGAAACTCTTCTGTATGTTTACAGAAGCACCTTGTGTGTTTACGCATTTGTTTTAAGGATGGGACTTCTTTTTCACCAAGAAAATAAACAACATATAATTCTTGCATATACCAAAGATATGTTGTTTACTGTAGAATATTCTTATACTTTCTTTCCAAATGAACAAACACTTACCATTACATACATACATATAATGAAGAGGACAAAGGCTTAAAGAAAAGGCAGTCCACAATATAGGTTGTTTGTTTGTTTGTTTGTTTTTAAGTTTGTTTTCTTTTTCTTCAAAAATAAATTACTTAACCAACAAAATATTTATACCTTCACTGTATCCATCCACTGCTGATAAGATCTTGAATTTCCTGAAATTAAAATGGAACATAAATCAAAATCAAACATACATTCAATATTTTAAGTTTCAACTCTCCTTACAATCTGCATAAAAAGTTCTGTTAGAGGTTTATTCATTAATTTGATTCTTCACAGATAGACATGATATTTAAAGATAAGAACATATGTACACTAAGAAGAAAAACAGTTCTCTTATTTAATGTTTTCTGTTTTATTTGTAAAAGTTTCTCTTCACCACACACTTTTTTTTTCTTTTTCTTTTTAACTCCAATTGAGGTACAAAGCAAAATTAAAAGTACAGTAACATAATGCTAAAAATTCTAAAAAAAATAAATACACCAGCATGAAGAAAATAACATATAAATGAACTTCATTCAAGCATAATGATCCCCCTGGGTAAACTTTCAAGTAAGACAATGATATGGACTGCAGATGGTACCCAAGGAAAGATATCCCAGAGAAAAAAAAACAACAGAGAAAAGCCCAAGGATTATGGCATCACCATGTCCTCGTGTAGGAGAAATTATTGTAAAACATTAACTGTATCTACTTTCCTATTTTTTTTTTTATTCAATATTCACATATCATCTGGCCCATGCTGTCACTCTTCCCATGTCTGATCGGTATCTTTCATGGACCGTGACTTAAACAATTACTAGAGATAGTACAAGAGACCACAGAAAATCACCAAGTTTTAACTGTCTAGTACTTGGGTAGAGACTTAAGAGACGTCAATAAATACAAAACCACAACAACAAAAAATCTGTATATATTCGTTTACAGAAAGGCAATGCTAACACTGCATACCCTGAGCCAGAGTTGAAACTCCTGACAAGAAAATGCAGACCCTTGAAATAAACAATTATGAGAACAGAGGTTCAAAGGCTTTAACTTTTTCACTGTTTTCTTGTACTACTAGCAATGACACTAGTACCATTTAGGGAAATAAATCTTGACCAGGTAACTGAAACAAAAATTATTTATAAAAAATAATGGAATCAACATTTTATTTTCCAATTTCCAGTTTGATTTTCTCAACTGGTTTAGTTATGATTGCATATGTGGGAAAATGTGAATTTAAAAAGATATTACTTAAAAAACATTTTCCATTTGATTTTGTACCTTTTAAATTATACTCTCTATACCACAGAATACATTCACTTGTTCATTTCACAGCTTATAGCTCGCTATCTTTCTGTGATGTTTCCGAATGCGAGGTTCCACCTATGGTATTTTGTTTTTTTAATTGTGGACCACCTGATCAAGTGGATGGGATTCCACTCTGCAAAGAGATCATAGTTCTACTTCTTTAGTGTCACAAAACACCACCTTCCATTGCATGCATATTGTTAGCCCTGCACTTCATAATGATAATGAGAAGGCAGTTATGTAAATATTGAATATATGTTCTAAGCAATTTGTCCACAACTTGGCAATATACAGCTTGTCTGACTTGAAAAGTATGCACACAGTGCAATCTAAGCAAGAATGGCTCCTGAAGCCAAGTACCCCCTTGCAAGCATGACCAGGTGAGATGTGGTTCACAAGCTGCCAGAGCATGGCCCAAAAGCAAACTTTATCTCAGTTTTAATGTAGTTTTATTGCAGCCTCTTGACCCCCTGACTGCAGTGAGCAAACGGACTCCAAATACTGACATCACCTATCTGAGTAATGGATGCTCAATGCCTACAATCTGTTTACAGAGCAGCCTAAGTTACACCATAATGGCAGAAAAGAAGCAAATCTCTGGTTAACTTAACTGCACTTTAATCAAGAAAAAAAAAAACACAAAACAAATTAAAAAAAAACCACAAATTATGTGCCATTATGTGCCAGATCACAGCACAAGACACAGAGGGCAGGAGAAGGCACTGAAAATCTTTAACAGAAGGACTGATGTACTCTGAGTATAACAAAGGTGTTCTGCAGAAGGTAAAGATGATTCTGTACCACTCCATGATTCCTGTGTGTGTGCCAAGTTATCTCCTCTGTGAATATGCACACATAGGGCAGCTTTGTGAAGGATGTCCATCCAAACCTGCCATGTGCAACTTGGTGGATTTGTTCAAATCACAGAACTTCCATTTATTAAGGACACTTTTACTCTACTTTCAAGATTGACCATAAAATAGTACTTGTGCTGTGTCATGCATGTTGTCATCTAACACTTCAATAGCAAATATGGTACCTTAAAAAGCAATATAGCAGATAGAGCATATAAATGTTTAACAGGAAACTATTCAATAATCCTGTAATAATCAGAAATAGATTCAGTACACACTCTTCTACATGGGTTAACTTTTAAGCTAACTAGTGTAAATAAGTGTTAAAAAAAACGGCAGTGAATACAACCAAGGGAAACAGCGCAAGGAATAATAACTTGGTTTTCTTTTTAATGAAGAGGGTATAATTTTCAATATAATTTTCAATGTTCCTCCTCAGATGATAGATAAATTTATTTATTTATTTATGAGTAACACACTTGCTAGAGTTAGTATTCATCTAAACAGTCAGGAAATCATTATTTTCTGCACCGCAGTAATAATTAGATGTAAAAAAGAAGTTAGGAGTGTTTTTGAAAAATGTTAACTATCTAGAAAAAAATCGGCAGGACAAATTTCAAGATTATTTTTAAATAGTTTGCATAGAATTTATCAAGCAATATAAACATGCAGATAACATGCAATTAGTGACGTGCATAGTGACATTTCATCACTTCTTGAAATCAAAGTATTATTTTACTGGATTAAAACAATGTATCTTCATTTAATACTGACATAACTATATTCATACTAATACGTGTCCTAGCAGTGATTTGTTAAAGGCTAAAACCTTTCCAAGAATGAATGGAAACACTGAGAGAGTAAAAATACGACTTCTAAAATTTATAGGATATCATAAGGACATCACCATGTTGAACAGCTCTCAGAGAAAAACAACCAATAAGTATACGCAAATTAGAACTGTACCTCCACAAAAGCCTCCTGTTGTGATTTCTTCTTCAAAAACATCGGAGAATCCCCTTCCTGCATTTAATTTTGATAGTCGACCATCAATAAACTGAAAAAAAAAGTCACACTTTGTTGGCCCTTCTATTTTTTTTAGAGTGTTAGAAGTTTAAGTGTATATGTTACAAGGGAATTTGTGCTTTCAAGATAACGTATGGCTTCAGGATACTGTATTGCTTTTAGACGGATTTTGCAGCTACAAGCATCAGAAATGTCTGAATATCAGACAAAAATATCACTGTACTTACAGAGTTTCTGCACTTTTTATGCATATTGAGTAAATTATATGTATTGTGCAAAATTTACTAATAAATTTGTAAAATTTTATAGCCAATGAACGTTCAAATCAGTTTGTTCAGAGTACTTTTGATGACTTTCAAGTTTTTCTTCCTTTTCTCATTGCATAAAAGTATTTTATTTCCTTACAAATGCTAGCTCTGCATAATCATAATCAATAAAAGACAGCTGAGAAATCCTTGATGTTCTGCTCCAAAGTCCAAAGGTTACCCCTTATCGTAAACAGAAAGCTACATCGTAAACAGACTTCCTTTTCTGTAGACACATCAATGGGTCCAAAGTAAAACTTGTTGAAGTGCACAGAACAGTTCCAGAATAGCTAGAAACATTTCACCCCGTGCAGTTCAAAGACACAATAGGCTACGATGTCTAATCAATTCCCATTAAAAGTTCAATATATATGTTTTACGTTAGAAGTGACCCTATATGGACAGTTAAGTGAGGGGAAATTGGAGCAAAACAGTCTATACTGAAACACCAGAGGATTGCTGTGGCTTGGTTTCAGAAATGGTAGCAGCAGCGACTTGATTTTGATTGCCAGCATGTAAGCTAACTTGAAGGACCTTCCACTCCTGTGTATGGGAATATGACACACAAAATATCAAAACAAAGTAAGGCATGATGCCAAGGCAGACACCTAAGATTCTCTCCACCCAACTGAGCACAGTTCAGGGTTTCGTCTGCTGTATTTCTGAAGTTCTAACACATCTGTTTGCCATTTTTTAACCAGTAATTTAGTTGCATCTACAGGTGCATATTAAAATAGTCATGCTTACGCACAGGTTGCAGCTGCATTAGTAGTCAGATTTACATCCAAATAATGTGTGTAGATAAAGACTGAAATTATTCAGATAGGCCAGAAAGAGTCAAAATAAGATAGCTAATGATTAAACCTCTCAGAAGAAATGCAAACATTCTTTTCAAGATTTAACAGGGTTCAAAGAATTACAAGCATATTTTTAAAGGTTTAAAATCCTTTCAAGAAGCAATCTCTCCTTTTTTATTTTGAAAAGGCTAACTCAAGTCTGAGAGATAAGTGTGAAAGCACTTTTCCAATTATACACAGTTCATCTTGTAGCAAGAAATATGAGTTATTCCCTGGTACTAAACAGTACATAGGAACTGACCAAAATTAATTATTTGGTTATGTCATATATTACTACAGATTATCCAAACAATGTCAGTGACAATCTGATGCTTGTCAATGAGCAGACTAGTGACATGAAACAAATTACATTCTAAGAATACAAAAATTCCAGCAGCAATAATAAGGCAAGCACAAAGATAACCAGTCCTTTCTCTTTCTTGTCTAAATTCCTTTTTTTTTTTTTTTTCTCTTCATTTTCCTCCAAGTTGGCTTTTTTCCAAATATGCTGGGTTCATGGTCACACACTATGGGATCACTGGATTATTTCACAGTAAGAAGAGAGATAAGAGCATCTTTAGCTACTGCTGAGGGAAGGAGAGGAAAGGAGAGGAAGCCTTGGAACAGAAAGGTGTTACTTCTTTGGGGAATGTTACGAACTCATTCCATACTATAAACTAACATAAGATTTACGGATATTCAACATTTGGTAAAATTCTATCAACAGCAGGCTGAGACACTGACTGAATTTTAGTTTTTAGAGGACTAATCCAATTGAGTATTTAATGTAAATACTGACAAACAGATCTGCTACCAAAAATATATTTGAATTATTTAAAGAAAGAGATAGTGCTACTAGCTGTATTAGTAGTTATTACTTTTCAGTAAATTACAGTTATGAGTTGCATTTTAATCACTGCATGAAACGAACAACAGCACTTGCAGTCATACATACACTGTATGGTTTTTTCTTCCTATTTTTCAAAGCCATACACCCTTGGAAAATCAGGGCCTGTTAGTTCAAGTAATTCATTTTCTTATTTTTAGATCCAGAGACCCCCTGCTTAACTACCACTTTATTGAAAAACAGTAACTCCAATGCTACTCTTGGTTTCTAGCTGACTAAAGATAGAACTACCATACTTAAATAATTTTGAATTCTGAAAATAAAATATAGACCTTGTTGCATAGCTGCTAAAAAGTGAGGGTGATGGAAGAGAGATGATGTTTTGTGAGCTAAACCCAATTCTTTATTTAGGCAGCAGTGAAAGTTACAAGTAAATTCACCAATTATTAAGGACAAGAATTTGGTAGAAGCAATGAAAACATCTTACTTTCCACACAACAGCAGCTCAACACATTCGGAGAAAGAAAGCTCTCTCAGGAAGCTTGCAAATGAAAACTGAAATTACTAGTGTTAATAATTTGCTTGAGTCACAAGACTTGTGACTCTTCATGTCCTAATCACATAATCATTATTTATTTTTCTAGATAGCATTCCCTGGCATCTTAGAAACAATTACCAAAAACTGTTGTGGATTATTTTATTAATACAATTATATTGCTTAATGAAATAGTTTAACATTAGTTTTCATTTTAAATCCATAAATTAAGTAATATTATCCCCGTACATTCAAAAGAAGTATTTCACATGTGGGGTGCTATTATTAATTGCTTATATTTGAAGTTTGATTTAAAGATCATCTACCATCAGTGTTACCCTCATTAAAGAAGGGGGGTGGAAGGAAAAGATGTAATGAAAGTATACAGAATGTTAAATCAGGAACTAAGAATATTTATTCTACAAAAAATAGTTATTTACTTTATATGAAAAAATAGAATATGATTAAATATCCCTTATGTAAGAATAAATATAATCTTTATTATTATTATTATTATTATTATTATTATTATTATTATTATTATTATTATTATTATTATTATTATTAAATCTTTCTAGGGCAGAAGACAGCTTAAAAAAACTACCAGGAAAATATGATAAAAAAAGAAATTCAGATGTCCCTATAGTTTTGATTCATATCAGGGGTATTTATTATAAGTGACTTCTATGGATTCCTGGCATATGTATGTTTTGTATAAACACTTTGGTGTGTTCAGTTTCAGAGCAATGAAACAGTCCTTTTCAGCTTCCAACAATGCAAATGCTTCGACATCATTTAAAAGACATCTCTAAATTATGAGTCAGAGAATGGTTTGAGAAAAAGATCTCATTTAAGCTTCATAAAAGAGGCTAGGCATGCCCCCTGCCAAAATACTCTGCTTCAATTCAGTAAAAACTATGATGCTGGAAAAGGAAACAAATATAAAAGGGCTAATGAGAATGAGATATAGAAATGGACATTTTAACAACTTACAAACAACACTAAAGTTAAAAAAATAAACAATACCTCTGTCATATGATTATAAAGATACCAATACAGACAAAAAATGTTAATCTATTAAGGTAAAGGAAGCACAGTAGAAGCAACAGGACCATTACTTAAAAAACAAAGATTGTGATAAGTGCTGGTTTGTCAGTTTGCTCTTAACAGTTTGATTAGGCTTTCAAACATGTTTGGAAGTGGAAAAATGGTAAATGGGAAAGTGGAATGTTATACCACATCGGTTATCAAAACACAGGTTCTCACAGATTCTTTGACAATTAATTTTCTAGATAAAGGAAATGCACGTTATCTGTATGAAAGAAAAGCTTTGTGCCTTTACCTTAAAATATTAGTTAAGATCAATTAAAAGCTAAATACTTGAACAGTACCTGAACTTTAAGTCAGGTGAAGACTTTCTCAAAAAGAAGATAACAGCTTATAATAAAAGGGAAAGCATCAGACTGGAAGCAGAAGTAATGGTATTTAAGGACAAGTGTTGGACTGATCCTATTTACAGGGTAATTAATGATTTTCATACAAAAGACTGGCATGTGCTAATGCATGGACATCCTTGACAGAAAGCACATCAAAATAATAATAGAAGGTAAAAATGGATGATGTTGAAAGTGAAAATAGCCTGAATGGGAAGAACATACAAATAATTACACATTTTATTCCCACAGTGATTTCCTAGTATTTTGGTGAAGAGATACTGCCAACATCCAAAATGAAAAAGAGTGGTTAAATAAGAGGAACCAACAAGTTTTAAGGGGGGGGGAGGGAGGGGAATTGGGGAGGGGAGATGAAAAACCTAAAAAGTAAAAAAGAGGACAGAGCAAAAAATTTTATAAAATGGCATAAAAGTGTATTTAAAATACCAATTTTCTGCTTCTAAGAACTATTTTTTACTTAAACAATTACTTTTTTTCAAGAACAGAATAAAATACAGTTTATTCTGTTGAACAAAACCTTGAAAACAGCTCATTTGTCACTAGGAAGAGCTAGACAAGATGCAGCTGGGCTGAGCATTAGCTGAAGAAGTAGGAGTAACATTTCACAACAAACTAGAGAAATGAAAAAATGTTTACTACCAAACCACCACATCATCAAAATTGTTAGTATTTCCTAATCCTCTGTAATATATTATTTCCTTTAGTGGGAATAAAATTAAAAACAAGCTATAAACAATCTATAAACTGATTCTTTTTAATTGAACACACTAAAATGTAATGGGTAAGTTCAGAGCCATAATGACGAGCCCATTTATTTCAGTGGAGTTAAACCTTTTTGTTACAGTTTAAGATAGTGCTACAGTAGTTTGACAATGATTTGCAAACTTCCCTTGTAAGCAACTTTCTGTTAAGAAAGTTTCATGCTAGCTTACAGTCCTAAAATATGCAAAGTGTAAACACACTTTACTACTTCTTCCCATTTCAGTCATATGTACTAGATATTAGAAAAGGTTTCAGATTTTTCACGGTGAAGGAGCCCACTTCTATGGTCTGTATTTCCTTAACTTTTATACAAGTAGAAAAAGCATTTTCACAGGACTTCTACAAATTATCATCCTTACATAAATCTTTTCTTTAGACATTAGCCTCTGATTAACACCAAATGTTTTTTGAAAATTAGAAGATTCTTTATACTATGAATTTCCCTTATCTATTATGGCAGTATATCTTCTTCAAAGAAGTCCACCAGATTACTTAAACATGAACTCCCATGCCTCAATCATTCCAGATACTTGCAAATAAATAACTACTCTGAGTCTTTCAGATTTCCCTCGATTTTTCACAAACCTAATAATAGGTTTCTTGATAGCTTTTTGATGCAATGAGGTCATGTAATGAAAATGAGGAAAAAGATTTACAAAATAAAATGAAAGAAAAAATGATTTCAAAGACTGTGATTTCAAACTGTTACTGAGCTCTGCAAGGCATTCAACAACTTGTTCTCTGTTAGTTCAAAATCTGTATTAACAGATTAGCTAGAATATTCTTCAGGCTGCCCCTGTGGCTCAGGTTTGTAACATTCTCTGTGTGCATACTTAAGAAGTCCTAGCAATGAAAACTACTATTACAGTATGAATCCAGTTTTTAAATAAAATGCCACTGAAGTCCAATTTAAGCAAGCACTGTGTTGTTTAGGTTTTTTGGTCATGATCCAAGAGAGATGAAAATGAAGTTCCCCCATCAAGCTGGGAGATCCATGATTTTTCTTGTTTAGATGAGTTGCTGACTGGCACTGCAGAGATGTTGCACTGACTGTGCACCCTGGAGTTATTTTTTCTTCTTTTTTTTTTTCCCCCCAACTCTTTTTCATTATAACTGAAGTTTTAAAAATAGAATAACAGACAGATGACTGGCTGTATACAAATACTTGTATTTTACCTCAGAGTTTCATAAGCTGACAGAAAGGAAAATGTATTTAAATAGATAGGTTTCAAAATAAACTAATTAAATATAGGTCATTCACCCTTTCATACCTGTTTAAACAGTTGAAGATTCACAGCAGTTTCCAGGAACTTTTTAGTATTACTGGAACGATGCTTCACAAAACTCTTCTCACAGAAAGTTATAGGCTCTCCCTAAAACAATTTGAATGGAAAAAAGTTAGTTAGTAACTACAGGATAGAAAAGTGTTAATTTATTTAACATTCCCCATTATAGATTTCTAAATAGCCAATATAAAAACACAAAAAATTCCCTTTTGAGCAATCTTGGTAAATGCGTCAAATAGAAACACAGACAGTATCAACAACAAAAAAATCATACATTTTAAACAGTTCTCAAAATACATGTTGCAGTTGAACCTCTGGTTTATGAAGCTTTAACATCAGTCTACAAAAAACACTTCGCAAGGAAAAAGTAAGTGGTTTACAGATGGTTCATGTTACCTTTATAGCACTCTTCATTAAACATTTGAAGGAAGTGGTTCAAAGTTTAAGGGATAGCAGGTCCTCTACTTCAAAATAATTCAACATGCATTACTCTGATTCAATGGCACACAAAATAATCAATACTAACCAAAAAATCTAATTCAATCCAAAATAGGAATCTGTCAAATAATTTTTAAATTCTACCACAACCTGAGAAGATTGACAAATGTACTACTGATTTAACAATAAATTATTGAAATAAACATATATTTTGACATTTTTTTTCCACAACACCAAAAACTACAAATGTTATGGAGAAAGTCTGAACAGATCAGATTAGCATTTATTGCAATAATATATTTGCCCAATATGGCAAAAGCACACAGCTTATAGTTTATCAAAAACCCACATCAAAACATTTGGATGATGAAAAAATGAAACAAGATGAATAATGAACAAAAAAAGGAAGAAGATGAAACAACTGAAAATTAAGTCTGTTGAAAATCTTATTACTGAAAACAACACTCATTTAAAAAAATAAAGATTTATAAACCATCAAATCAGATTCTATGTTATCCATTATTTTCTTTTATAATTTGCTGTATTCAGTGTGCACATACCACTGGAAATTACTGATGGGCATTCTCTCAAATTGTTATTCTTATAATTACTTTGTGATAAATATTTGAAGCTGTTAGATTTAACTGAGTAAGTAATACGTACATTAGAATGTTTGTGTAGTTCCTGACAGACATGAACTGATTCCATTATAAAGCCAAAAGGCCTCCCATCCAAGTATACAGAACAGAGTTACCAGGTTAGAAACAATTACCAAATGTCTTTAAGACAGAAAAACTGGAATCCAACTAAATTCCACATCGAAATCTACCTCTAGGATATTTTACTGCCCAAAAACTAAACACCCACAACAGAGTAAGACACCTCAGCCACTCAAAAGAAAGATCAAAGACACCTCCTATATTGATCTTCATGATAATAAAACAGGAGTCTTGTCAGACTCCAACTGTTAGCCACTTTGAAGACAAATTTATTCGTGCCCATTGACCACCATTGCTTTCCACTCTATACCCTGGTTAACTTTAACCGCACATGCATTTTCCTGTCTTTCTGGCATACTATGCCCTTCTAGAATATGCTTCTAGTATATCACTAAGTATTTTCTGCATGTGACCTATGTGAGTTTGATGGGATAGCTCTAAATCACTTTCTACTGCTTTTTACACTTTGCATTGTGTTTTTAATTGGTTCAAGTAAGATCCAATGAAATGTCAAAGCAAAACCACTGTCATGCCATTTTAAAATCCTATTCTGATATTATCAAAAGCTTCACTCTTTCTAATTTTTCATAGGCATCTCCACGTATCAAAAATTTGATCTCAGCTATCTTACCACAATACTAAATTCAAAGTACCTAAAATGAAAATAGAAGTCTAATCCTACTCAACAAAGCACTTAAGCTCCTGCTTAACTTGTTTTTAAGTTTTATGGTCTGACTTTTTTTATGGAATCCCTAGTTTCAGAAAAGAATTCCCCTAGTTTTAGAAAAGAATTAAAAGCTTTACATTTACATAACACAACCCTTCCCCTTTCACAGGATTGCTGGAATGCTGTGATATGCAAAACCATCTCAATACAGTATACGGATCAAGTCTCCAGGACAAGCATACAAGTTTTTCCACTTACTGCTTATCCAGAGATAACTGGTGAACGCTGTACACATGCAGGACATGCTGCATCTGCCAAAGAGCTTGAAATGTTTGTGGTACTTTAAATAGCACTGCCTTCCTGACCCACTTTGCATTAGCTGATCTTGAGCTCCTAAAGACTCTTGTCTTAAGAAGATGACCTCAAGCTACTTAGCAAATTCAAAGTGCATCAAAACAAATGAAACCGTCTCCAGTGAAATATGGTGGTACAAGACATGGTGTTCCTGAGGGCAGACTCTCTTCTCAGTTCAGTCGTTCTTCCAAAAAATTTCAAGACAACAAATGAGAAAAAAAAAATCCATATTTATATATTTCTTTACCACAACACACAATTTCTGAAAATACAGAGGCTATGTGGGAGTACAAAACTGACTAGATGATGGCTCACAACACACTATGAAACCTTAAATTTAGGGCCAAAGATTGAAAATAATATCATTATCAAGATACACTCCTTAGAATAATAAAAACCAAGCAAAGCCTCCACTGTCACTTTCCAAAATGTCTTGGGAAAGATGAAAGACAGACAGGAGAGGTTATCTCCCAGTACAAGAGCAAACAGCGACTCTTGCTCTCCCTTTCACAACAGCCTAGGAAGAGAGCACAATCAGCCAGCTCGACTTGATGGCACCTCTCCTGCCTGAGCCATGGAGCAGAATGCCAGGAAATGGTAGTTCACCATACATTTTTAGTGCATGGCTGTATTATTTTCCCAATTACTTTTCTTTATTACTGGGTGCTTCAGATATTTAATAAATACACATACATTGGTGCATCTGTTGCCTTATCAGCAAAGTTCAGAAACAGAATAACCAAAGCTATTCTGTAATTGAAAATGTATTTTGATCTATAAAGGGTTCACATCCCAAAGCCATCCATGTTATTTTAGTTTTCTTAAAAAAAATAATTGAGTGAGCTTAAAGCTTCTACCTATTCAGCATATGAAAGTAAGAAAAAACATCAAAACTTGTAGAAATTCCAGACTGTTTTCTGAGTATCTGCTGTAACTACTGACATTCCATTAAATAACACAGTTGACTTCTCTCTCTTTAATTTGCTCCATACTCAACGAAATTTCTTTCCAAATAAAATGTTAACAAATCTTCAAGATTATTACTGTAAACATTAGGCATTTTGAAGTGTTATTTTAAAATGAAAATATTTATTCAAATAAACAAAAATAAGTTTTGGACATAAAGCTTGTAACATTCTTGTTTCTGCAAATACAGCTGGGTACCTTTAGAAACGCTGGGTTTTGGAGGAATCCTCCACTGATATTTAACTACTACACCATCAAATGGCCCTTTCCGTATTGATCTACAATGTACTTTCAAAACAAGTTCGATCAAAACCCAGTAGGGACTCTATACTGAAAAGTAGACAGCTAATACTCAGACCAAACAATCCATGCCCAAACAAGATATCTGTCCTTTTAACAACAGTTGCTATAGAATTTTCCTCCCCTTTCATAGCTTGCCACACGCAGCAGGCATTTTTCACTCTAAGCTACATTCACAGTTTAAGCAAGCTATTTATGCGGACCTCAATGGAACAGGAAAACAGAGAGCTAAAACTGTGCTGTATTTTTAAAAGAAAAAGTAATCTTGATTAGAAGGTATGCTTAACTTTAAAAAGGAGAGTGAACATTTTAATTATTTCAGAAAACATATCTTTCCAGCATGAAATGACTGGCATTAACTATTCGTATTATTGCTATAATTAGTACAGTTTCATATGGTAGTTCTTGCTTGTTACAAAAAAAAAGAGCATAAGGTAGGTATAACTTCCTTTGTATTGCATCATTTATCAATAAAAGCTTTAATCTCCATGACTTATTTATATTAATATTCTTATTTTTACGTGGAAATTCCTCTGTTTAAAACCAAGGAAGTAAAAAGATGAAATTTCAGCTGTTGGCCTGAAATACAAAGATAAAAGTCTAGGGAATAACAGAGTATGACTTCAATACTCCTTCTATTTAGAAAGGTCCCATTTACAATTGCAAATAAATTACTCCAAAATTTGCACATTTCTTGCTATCTACCTAATCAACAATTCAGATGAGCTGATACTTTTTGCAGTCACAATTTAACCCTACTGACACTGCTATTAACTTCTATATTTAATAACAGACCAATACAGTCCTTAATGCAAATTTGGCTTTTAACACGTAAAATAAAGTTCTTATGGAAATAACAATAAAGAGGCATAATACATGTAGATATTACACAGAAGGGCTATATATTCAAACTCAAACTGTGTTCTGGCATTTTAATACTCTTTCTTCTGTTTCTGCACCCTACTGCACTTTTTATGCCTAACTCTTGCAGAATAGACAAACAAATCTCATCCATTTCAAGACACTTGTCCTCAAAAGGTTTTGTTCTGAAAGTTACAAGCAATCATTGCTTACACATTTCCAGGCATTCAGGTACATTCCGAATCTTAAAATACTTTTTTTTTTCCCCTATAATGTAACATTTAATTGCATTATTTTGCTTTCTTGTATTTTGAATACAATACCTGGATCTGTTGGAGCACTGATGTCATTAGTTTAAAAAGTGTCCGTATTGGCCCAAAGCACTCCAGTTAGCATTCAATTAAAGTGAGGTCTGACAGGTTGTGCTATCTCCAAGGTGGAAGCTTACCCATCCCCCTGGTGTGCTGATCAGCCTATGAACTCCTGCTGCCGAGAATTCCAAACCATGCCATTAGCCTTTGCTCTTCATTTCTTAATTTCTGATGATTGATGTTACAATTATCATAACTTAAACCAAAGTTATCCTGGTTTATTTCTTTTGGTTCAACATCAGTAACATCAAGAGCTTTCATGATTTTTTCCCCAGAAGAGGAGGTGATTTTTTTTTCCAATGACTATTTTTTTGCTAGCAAATTCTTGAAGACAGTTCCTCAAAAGTAGAAAATAACTTACTGTTTCTGATATTCTACAGTCTTTCAATAGATATGTCTTAAAGAAATAAGATTTGTTTATTTGAAATACATTCGAAACGTATTTGTCTTGTCATGATGGATTTTATTTTAATTTTTAATCAGACCCACATTTCCTCCTGGTGTCTGCTACCACCTTTCCTGCTTTGTTCATTTTCCCAGTGTTGTTAAAACTAATGTCTATTATGGTGAATACTTCTACACTCATAATTATTTTTTTCTCCTTCCCCAATCTCTCACCTACCCTTCCATCTCTAGACATAGATTGTCAGTGGAATATTGCCTGTTTAAGAATTTCTATACCACATGGTGCTTAATTATTTGACCATACCGTACATATTTAACTAGAAAAAAAAAATCTAGTCTTCTCTGTCACCTGCAAGGTTTCCACAAGTTCATTTATAAGACCAACTTTCATTAGCCATCATAGCGTTGCTAAAATGTTTGACTGTCATGGCATGTGATACAAAGGTGCCTGAAAATCACCTACAAAGAATGTGCAAAGTAAAAAAAAAAAGCTAGGAAAAAAAAAACACAAACACAATATTGCCCATACATTGGATTGCCAAAATGACACAAGCTGCACAATTATGAACTCTGTATTTAACTCCCACCTCTGCCTGCAATTATGAAACATGCAATATGATAATAATAAATCATAATGATAAATTCCCAAATGCTGGACTACTTAAAAACATGAGCAACAAAAAGTTCAAGGCTAAGCTGTGACTACTCAAGCTAAATATAATTTTGATTTGTATACGCATCTATACAGTATAAGGAGCACTTATGTCACAATACTCTGATCATTGTAATGTCTCAGCAGGGACAGACTCGAGATCAGAACTCTTCGTGATCACTGACACTTGCAAATCACACAATGGCTCCTACTGCAGCTGCTAGCTAGGCTAATACAACAACATACTGATATTCCACTGAGAAAATTTCCTTCTGAATACATGGATTATTTTTCGTCCATTCATCACATGGCAGTGACGTCAACAAAGATGAAAATCTGTTTAATTTTCTTTTTCTTTTCCCTATCAAAATCTTGTAATGGTGATGAGATAGTAAAACAGGCTATGAAAATAATTTTACCAGTCATCCTGATCTATCATGCATGAACTAGATTCCTTCTGTATTAAAGTAAACCAGAAAATGAGCTTCAGCTAGTGTGGGTATTCAGCAGTCAACACTAAAATAAGAACCACAATAAAGCTAGGAATGCACACTGCATGGATGTCAGGTCCTTAGCACCAACTGTACTGATTTACTCTACAGATCCACTATTATTATGCAATAGTTTCTAATGTAAAATGCAACTTCTTATAAAAATATTTTCGGCAGTTATATCAAATTTGATTTCTCTTTTTCAATTCAGTATTGTGATTAAATTGTACAAAACAACTGTTTCTGCTTTTCTTGGAAACTTTTACTGCATTAGGATTTTTATTACCATTTATTACACAAAAAAATATTATCACCTATATGTATCGTGTGTCACAATTCCTGCCTGAATTAGTCAAATTTTCCATATGGTCTTTCGGAGTCCCATGAACTCCTTTCAAGACCCCCGAAGCTTCCCATTTTCTCTTTCACCAATCACATTATTTTCAATAATTGCTAGACGTTTGTTCAAGACATATTGCTATACCAGGGAGAATCTGTCCTATGCTGAAAACAAACAGTTGCACAGAATGAGTGTTCAGCGTGATGAACAGCGTTTGGAGCGAAGAGAAGTGTTGGATGAGTACAGACACTATCAAAGCTGTTCTTTACTCAAAGTGAATATTAATGACAGTTGTTTCATGTTTCAAGTTAAAATCATACAGAACACTCTGTTGCAAGGAAAATAGTTCACATAAACATATTTTTCAACTTACAAGCAAGCAATAACTATCCAAACATAATTTTATTTTTCATTAGGATGTTTGTGACCCTAAAAATGGTTTACCAAAACCTTTCAGGTCTTGATTTTGAAAATATGACAAGTTTATTTATAGCAAAAGTATTTCAAAACTCTATAGAAAATATTCTCATTCAGGTATACCCCTTACATAGTTTCCGCGTGAATGCTTGAGCTCCAGAAAGAATGTAAATGAAGTCTTTGGAAACTTTGGTTTAGATTTTCCCTATTAGATCTAGCATCATGGACTCCAAGACAAAAGATCGTATTTTCCTTGCAATACCAATTCACATGTCCTAAGATTCCTGACAAAGTCCCAATACAGGCAAACATGATCGGATTTTTTGAACCTCCCCCTTCTTCACAAGGCATTGAACTTAGTTCAAAAGGATCATGGAAAATGAGTCAAACAACCAAGAGACAATTCCTCTTAGTGTCTACTAATCTGGAGTTTTTCCTATCACAACAAAAATTCCGTAAAATACTATTAGTTAACACAGTATGAACACAGCTCAAAAAAAATTCGACTTTTTTTTTATTATTAAATATACACACTCTTTGTCTTTGGACAAGTTGATGCCAATCCAAGATATACTGGTATTTGCCAGCAGACAGTATTCTGAAATAACACATGAAAAACAAAACAAAACAAAACACCACCACCAAAGGCCACAACAGTTTCATAAATACCTTCTCTTATATGTAATAAGTGGAGCCAAAAAAAAAAAAAAAAAAGAGAATAACATAGAAAGAAAGGCTGTAGAGTTCACTTTGACAAATATTTGCCAGCTGAAATGATACATGGTGCACTACTTCCAACACAATGCAAATGTACATCTTTCAAATATGGCAGCAGAAACTAAAATAAAATGGAAAGCAGAGCTGAATTCAAGAGATGCTAACCAGAAAACTAAAGAATTTGCATTCAGTTCAACAAACTTACCGTCACATAAAGCCCTGTCTCCAGCCTATTTCTGATCAGAACAGAGGTTAAGGCCATCAGACAGACTGACATCATTCTGTTTGCGTACCTTGAACATAGACTAAGATACCTTTTGATGTAACTGCTTGTAATGCGAACTGCTATGAGTTGACACTGACCAGTGTCTTCATCTTTAGACTAAGGGAACAGTTATACAACCCCTTCCAAAGCAGTGTCAGGTAATGCCAGTATAGAATAAACTACAACTGTTTTGTTGAAATGATCGATTTTAATGAAACTCATACTGTGTTGAACTCATGACTTTGAAAACAGGTACGGTTGTTTCAAGATACTATGCAAACTGATTTTCCATATCAAAAGAAAACTATAACAAATGTCAAACATATATATTTGGACTAAACCCTTAAATACTACTTCATTTCTACACAGGTTACCTTTTTATCTCAATAGTTTTCTAATGCTTGTTAGTGGCATAGATACATAGACAGCTAGGGTGTAAAATGCTTATGTCAAAAAAAAAAGAACAAAACACCTCTAAGAGGATCACTTGCATAGAAAGAAGACTCTGCCATGCTGTTATTTCGGTATGTTTCCTCCAGAAACTTACCTCATCTGGAATGAATGACCATTCTATCCATTTCCATCAAGGAACACTGCACAGTTCCCTGCCCAAGGGATTCAGCCAACAGCATCTCAATGTATTTTTATCAAATGAAACTGCTATCAGTAGTTTGCAAATATCATACAAAAGTAATCTGAAATTAACCTCCGTGTTGTTTCTGATGAATTTTTTTGTCATCTAGTAGGCTCAGTATGTGCCACCCTCAAAAACCAGAAAGGATGAGAGCCCTAACACATTAACCTACTGAGTACCAGCAAAACGTCAGGCATACAAGTTCTGATGGGATGGATTGGGTTTTCATTTCTCCTATCTTCTCAGTTGAATCAAGGTAAGTGTATAAAAGTAGAGATGTGTGTTTGACTCATCATATCTGGCTTCTGCTAGGAAATAATAATAATAAAAAAACTTCCAGCCTCAAACACAGCAAAGCCTCCGTTTGAAGTGCAGAGGAAACTGAGTCTCTGTAAGGCACAACCTCTTCAGTTCTTCAGCACATTGAACAAGGTAAACTGTACGTATTTTCATGAATGCAATCCCATTTTATACTAAATAAATTCTAGAAGTGATACAAATAAAAAAAAAAAATAGCTGACTTTGTACAACTATTCATTTTTCAGTACAACTCACCATCAGGAGGTGGTAGTGTCTTCTAAATTGCCAGCATATCTTTTACTCAGAGTAAGATTTAAAACATTTTCAGATTGGGATAATACATCATATTTTTCCTGCAAAAGAATGAGCCTGTGCTCTTGCAAATTAAGGAAAACAGTTGTCTTACTGGTTTGTATCTTAGTGCATCTCTGTAGGATCCAAACAGTGCTGCCTGTGCCCGAAGAAAGGCCTTGGCTACTCCGTCACCCGTAGCTGTAGACTGCTTTTTCAGTTTATTTTTCAAGGCCGAGACCTGCATGACAGAGTGGAACAGTTAAATTAACACCTCAGAAATTGGTACAGCGAGGTATGAACCCAATCAGCAGGCAAACCATGGTGTCTACAGGTCAGCCAAAAATTCATCCTCCTCCTTGATAGCTTATCTTTTTAACTGCAAAGAGCACCTGCTGGTCTGTTAATTGAAATGAAGGCAGGGGATGATGGTAGAGTGCTAATGCAAATTGGTTTATGCTCTCTTTTTTTCCCAAGGCCTCTTGACATAAATAAGCTTAATTATTTTACAGTAAACTGCATGCGAGCCACTTTTCTACAGATCTTTTTCTGATCATAAAATTTACCTTCTCATTTTGAATGAAGACAGTTGGATATTTTCTATTGATATTAAGGCCGCTTATTTTTAAGGATTTCTAATGCTAACTTATGATTCAGTTTTAGGGATTTTTTTTTTTTAAATATCAAATTACTATCTTACATCATTTCTCATGCACCATGGGTGTAGCTGCTACCGCTGTCAAACAGTTGAGAAAAGTTTGTGTAAACTCAGTAGTACATTACTGTTAGAATTGTCCTTGAAGATAAAACACATGAAAGGGAAAAAAAAAAAAAAAAAAAAGGAAAAAAGGAGAACAACGTTCTGATTAGGCACCTGTAGTTAAAACAAAACAAAACAAAAGCTATTCTTGTTTTAGTGCTTGACATTTCTTTGGAAGGAGGTCTCTTCTGTTTTCCTTTTTCTTGGCATAGATGGCTATTACTTGGAGATTTTAGAGAAAGATCTTATAATTCTGGAATTATTAGAGTATTTGATTTGAAGATATGTGGAACTACACCCAGATATAGTTTCATTCAACTAATTACCATCATGAGGGATATCTGGAGAAATAAGCCAGCTCCAATTATGTTGAATACAAGTTTCTACCTCCCTTTGTATTGCAATATAACCATGAAATCAATATTTTTGTCATTAAATTCTATACGAAGTACCATTTAGAGTTACTCTTTAAACAGAACATTATACACACAAACTATCAGCAAAACAGCTTTCACTCTTTTAGAAATGTATGCAAGAATGAATATCTTTTTATTTCTTTATGCAAGCAGTCATGACTGTTCTTGTAGATGATGATTGTAATTGAAGTGTCAACCTAATTAACAACTAAACTTTGAATAATGCTAATGAGAACTGAACATGGCATCAGAGAAAAGACCAGCTCTACAGGTGATAAACCTTCACAGTAGTGACATTTTCCAGTGTAAAGTCACAGTTACTGTGATCTGATCAAAGAGAGAGACCCCCATTGGGTCCAATTATAACTATAGTTTTGAAAAAAAAAATTATTGAGTTATGATGTTCATAATCTATGCAGAAAGGCCTTTACAGTATAGGTCTTTTCCCCATAGCTGTGATCTTTTCAATTTATATCCAAGCTCCATAGATCTAGATAAAAGTTTAGAGCCTGATTCGTTTAGCCCATGGATAGCATACACCAAGGCTCATTTACGTTTTTCCCTTATACCTCAAAAGAAAAAAGAAAAAAAAAAAAAAAAAAGTACAACTCTGAGTACAAAAAGCAGCTAAGGAGTTCAAGGTTGAAAAAACAAATGCATGTTATTTTATTTTCTTTGTTCTGTATGGTATGATTATTTTAAGGTTCTTAAAAATTAGGTTTATTTAATTTTGAGGGCAATAAATGGGGGAATACACTTTGTATAAGGGAAATCTGCCCATCAGTGTTAGCTCAGTTTCACTACAAGAAAAACAGAAACATGAGGTCAAAAAATGAATTCTCAACCTTAGAAAGTAGTCTCTGTCATGATGAACAAAGCAGCTTAAACATGAAAGAATTTCCTTTTCCCTCTACGTTTCTTGCAAATCTACACTCTTCTACATTATATTTAATGATGTGAAAAAAAGACAATAATCTTACACTAGGAGTTTGTTTCATAAAAAACAAACAAACAAAAAATCTCGTGCATATTCTATTTGAAAATATAACTGGTATATTTACATTAAATAATTTTTGTGAAGTGATTTTTAGAATTTAGTAGCTTTTTTTAAAAAAGGGATCATTGTTTTTTCTTTAAAGCAGAAAAATTGTTCAATGCTATCTGTTCAAAAATGTAATAACAACTAGAACTCTGAAATTTAACTTGCAAAATGTATTTGAAAATCCTTTAAGCTAACAGGTCATGTATTTCCTGAAGACATATGTCAAATGGTGTGACATGATCAAATGAGATTTGAAAAATTTGAAAAATACTTCTAAAAGCATGTGGATACTTATCTTGAATTTAAGCTACTTCATATTAGTAATGGTAATGTTCTAGATCTAAGGTAATCATGGGCTTATACGTTGTGTTGGTCAGAAGCTGACTACCAGTATTTTTTAGGACTGTTTTCAAATTAAGTGAAAAGTAATTGCTTCCTCATACAGTCCCACAATGAATTGGAAACACATGACCTTTCTTATCATTCAGCCACAGGGACACTCAAACAAAAGAGGAACAAATGTCCTCTTCACCTGAAATCATTTTACAGCAACACATTACAATTGAGTTTCGGTTTCTCAGTTTCAACAGTGATAAAATCAGATCTCCCTCTAAATCGACATTTAGACGATTCTTCTAACCCCAGCATAGGCTCTACTTATACAAATGTAAAGAGGGAGTAGGCTTCATACTGCTGGTTGGTGATACAGTGTCGGTAAAGAAGCTTCTGGTGGATCGGTATTAATGGAAACAGCAAAAATAAAACAGAGAGAAAGGAGGATCACAACTTGGCTGCAATCACTTGTTTCTAGGATAATCAATATTTACTGTCTTTCCTTACGGATGGATAAAGAGTGGATACACTCCTCCCTGTGTCATTCTTGGAGGTAGGGGCACAATGCACGTAACTAGTAAAGAACAAAGAGCAGAAGTGGATATATTTTAACTGAAAGAAAAAAGATGTTATGCTGAGCACTGAAAGTTTGGGGAAATTATGGCAGATGATAAAAGAAGGTAAGCGAGAACAGTGAAAAAGAAGGTGTAGAGCAGAAGAATTACAGGACAAAGCAAGGGAAAAGGATTTTTTTTCAGTTCTCTTGGGCCCTATATACCCTACCATAAATCAGTATCAGGATGCTTTAGACAAATATATATTAAAAAGAACAACAGAAACAAAAAAAATCTCCCAGTTTACTGCAGTACTGGTACATTATTATTTCAACAACATTAAGAAAATCCCAATGGACTGTCAGCTTGAAGGCAGGAGGTTCCAGCACAAACCTGCAGGAACGCTACCCGGTCAGGAGCTGCACTCCCAGGCTGCTATCCTGGAGTGAGTTCTAGCCTCAGAAAGATTGTGCTGGAGTTCAAAAAGTTTCTCCAGCCTTGATTTCCCAGTCACCAGAGCTGGAGCCCCTGCTGAAGCACCCTTGAAGCACACCCTTGCTGCCTGCCTGCCCGCCCGGGTTCCTTCAACCTGAAGTCAGCAAACGCGGACGTGCTTAGCAAACCACCGAGTGACAGCAGAGCCAAGCTGCCTGGCTGGGTAGGCTGCCTGCAAAGCCTCCACACTTTAACCAGAGTGATAAGCAGTTACTGCAGCCAACACAGTAGGGACAGATATGAGAATGGGTGCTTTGAACTACTTACGAGGACCTGGTGCACAGCAGGATTACGATCACTTGAACCTAAAGCCAAGGGAGTGTAAGCCCCCTTTAGGTGATGCCATGGTGGCAGAATACATCGTTCTTAAAATTTCAAAGAAAATACACAGTACTGACATGCAGCCAAAAAACACCCAAGAGGCATCCTTACTGCAGTATTTTCCTTATATATGCTTTAATCCATCTACCTATTTATGATTAGGAATGCCTGACTCTTTTTCTCCCTTTCTGTGACTTAAGCAGAAATAGCCTTCTGAAAAGTTTAAAAATACAGAACTAGAAACAAACAAACAACAGGGGTTAGAACTCTTTTATTTCTTTTCCTGTGAGGCACTAATGATCTGTTTCAGAAATGGTATTATTAATTTACACTAGGAGCAAAGTGTTTTTGTCTTCTCCTAGCAACTGCTTGTCATAGGAAGGTGACTTCATTGGACTGTTAAACACTACCAATGAAGAGCAATCAGAGCTTTGGGAAGGATTAAATCAATAGAATAGTCTTTCGGAGATTTAGGAAGTCATGTGGTTTGCATGTGGCTTTGCTTTCATACATACAAAGTATATGAAAAACGTCAAAACATATTGTATCAGGCATTGAAAAAAGAAGCGTAATTTTTTAAAATAGTCACCCTATATCCTTTTCAAGTTTCCAAAATACAATTACCCGATCAGAAACAAGACATGACTAATACCTCTTCAATATTCATGTGAGTAGAATAATAGAAGGACCCACAAAAGTTAAAAAAAAAAAAAAAAACAATTCATAAAATGATGTAACTATTAATCAAAGCCTTTCTTCCTGCAAAAGCTTAAGCACAGGTATAAATTTAAGCCTGTACAGAAACATTCAAAAGATTTGTGCCCTAAGGAATGCAGAACCACGCTCTGTGATTCCCAACAACTATCGCATCTCTGAAAAAAAAATATACCCAGGTATTTCTCTCATATCAGTGGCAGTTATTATGTTTTACATTATTTTCCAGTGTTCCCCATCAGATCAGGTCACTGTAAAAGTAAAAGCACACTCTCAATAGCAAAAAGTAGTAAGTGGCAGAGAAGAGAAACAAAACAAGACCGTACAATAAAATGGAATCTGAGTTGATTTAAATCGATGTTGTTAATGAAAGAGCTTCTACATACTTGATATTATCTATACACACAGGATTTAGGCATCTCAGCTAGCCCTCCAGCATCTAATCAAAAATACTCATTATCTACCTAAATGCAAATGTTTTCAAAACTAGTTGCATTTTTCAATCTGATGGTCTAGTTTCTAAAATTATATCGAGGTTCAACAGAATCTCAAACAACTTGTCTGAGATTCAGCATAAATAGCTGTTTCATAACATTGCAAACATTTCTGCCTGCTTTGAGTTTCTAATATATATTAGTAATATTTTGGGTATCTTCTAATGGAAAAACTAATTAAATTATGGTATTTAAATTTTGCAAAAAAAAATAATTAGTTGCAATGTTACATGCTGCTAGTTATTTCTGAAAATACAATGATTAATGGTATTGTAAAAAAAAATTACAAAAAAAATCCCAATAATTATTTGGTAAAGTAGCTGGTTAATTTTCAACATGAATTACAGCCTATTTCGCAGTATTACCTTTAAAACAGTGACGTTCCATCACCCAATTTATGTTGTTAAAATACTTTTGACTTTTGGAATCTCAGAAGAAAAACTCAAAAAAATGTTTGAATTCTGTCCTGTATCAGTGTATATGTACAACATGCTATAAAGGCAATGCATCTTTCAACAGCTCTGTAGATTTCACAGTTAACATTTAACAAACACAGAAGATGCTAACATGCTATAAAGCCCATTGTTTTCTGAAGATCATATTTATAAAAGTTCTGCTTAAAGTGTACTGTGAATTGAGTAAGATCTGGTCGCTAAATGTGATAACTGTGATAACCTCAGTTCTCCAAGATTTTTCTGAAAGGGTTCAAATTGTGAAAAGGACTGATCTTTTTGTCAGAGGTAATTGCAAGCAGGTATTGCAGAATCAGGCCCAAGGTTTATAATTGTGTAAGCGTCTATAGTCTACACTAATTTATATACATCACAAATGCTCTTTTTCGACTGTCTTACTCCATTAAAGTGGTGATCTATGTATTATTGCATTAGGAAATTTACTCCCACAGAAGCAGCTACTTATTTTCATTTTTTTAATTAAAAAATAATAGACAAATTCACAGTGAAATGATTAAATTTAAAAACAAGTGTTCTTGTCAGAAGAGAGGGGAAAAGAGGGTTTTCCCCCCTCTAAGAAAACAAAGGATTCCTGAAAGTCTTGCACTGATTTATTTTTCCAATTTTAAATACCTTAGGAGTAGCGGAACTGCTACTGGCATGGTAGTATTTCTAACAGTCAATAAATCTAAAATATTATGTGTGAATATTGGAATGAAGCCATTAAGAAGATTACAGCATGCAACGCAGCAGAGGGTCCACATGAAAAAAGGACTGGTAATTCAGGACAACTGTGACCACTGACCTTTGCACAGTCAAGACCACTGGTCAGTCTGACAGAATAATAGAGTTCACATGCATAGAAAGTCATCTAGCCTGTAACTATAATTTAAATACTTAAGTGAATGATTTAAAAATGCCTTTAAATCTCAGTTAATTTATTACGCAGTTTATTAGATAATGCTATATAGTAATGTTTTTCAATCTTGAATTTATCTTGAAAAAATTCACAATGGGAACATTTTCATAGACACATTACTTATACATGGGTAAACTATTAAATACCTATGCAGTGAGGACGTCATCAGGCATACTGATCAAGGAAAGAATTTACTCAGTTTCCTTCAGACAGAAGAAACAGTTTTAGAGAAGTCTTTGAAAAATATTGCATTTCTTTTGTTAGGCTGTTAATCTATCTGGAATCAATTTTTCAAAGGGATGAGAGCTTCTTTTATATTTTCAGTTCTTCATCCTATTTTAACACCCTTCATTGGTACTCCTGCTTATTACATTTTTTCATCAGAAGTTTTACCACCTTTGTACGTATGCTTACAAGTCCTATTTATATAAGCTAAAATATTTCACGTATGTAAGCACCTGACATCTGCTCTAATGCTTTAAGTTTAACTTACCATTTTGATTCTACAGCCTTACATCTTATACATTTTAACCCAGATGTTAGCAGTTGCATTGTCCCCGCTGAATGCAGGAGGACAAGCATGCTGTCATTTTATGAGCCAAAACCCAGACACTGTCTTTGTTTCTAGGTTTTCCAACTACAAGATTATGTGTTTTCCGTTATTTTTTTTTATTTACTGATTGAAGTAGAAAAAGAGATGGGTCTATTTAAATTAAAAGCTTCACTGTAAAAACAAGTTCTGCAAGTATATTTTACATAAAGCACACTTGTTCTGTTTTGTTCAATATTAGATATAAAATGAAATATTTTAAGTCTACTGCATAATCCTCACTCTTAGATAACTTTCATTAACATTAATAATAGTAATATCTACACATCATAGGGAAAAACATACTCTTAAAATTACAAAGAACTGCCGCCCCTATTTTTTCATGCTAGTCTATTCATTTAGAGATCATTTTGACATGCAGCTGTAAAATACATGAGGTCCCCCTCATTGCACAAACATCCTTTTTTTTTTTTTTTTTTTGTTTTTAATGTTCAAAGGACCTCCAGCTACAACTCTAGTGAAGATGATGCTTAATTCTCAATTCTACATCTAGCTATTATTTGACAAGAGGTACGTACCTCCATGACATTATAACCTCAACCTTTTACACTTAGTGCAAAGTCAGTTAAAATTAACAACACACCAGAAAATACCTATTTTTTTTACTTCAGTTATTATTTACTTCAGCTGTATATGTGTACTTCAGAGTACACTCAGAATTATTGTACATGTGTATATACTTTTTCATAGATCAGTGTAAAATCACAGAACAGCAGAATATTTTTTATATGATCAAAGTAAATTTCTTTCATATTTCTGAACTACAGTTGATAATGAATTGAGAGGAAGACTGACCAGACAATCTATAAAAAAAAAAAAAATCTAGGTTTTAATACTATTATAATCATAGAGGACTGATATTAATACCATCATCAAGAGTTTGATTTCTGTTTTTCCATATACGTACAAATTATCAATACGAGACATAGTATTTCAGTCCAATGCCTCACTTTGATTAAGACAGATTGTTTTAATGATTCACAATTTCAGAAAATGTAGCTCTGATTTCACATTTTGATATAAAATTATTTGTTCTGACAATTTCTGATAGCTTGAGCATCTATAACTAAACAATCAGAACAGTGATTTCACACTGATATTCTTTTAGAGCTGTATTGGGAAAACCAAGGTAAGTGAATTTTACGACTATTTAAAATGATATACAGAACATGTTCCCCTATAGGCAATAGGAAAAAAAAAAAAAAAAAAAGGAGGGGGGGACCCTCTGCAAGATCAAAGTCCAGAAAGAACTGGCACTTAATTTATCATCCTTTACAGACAAAAGACAGTTTTCGTCATTTCAAAAGGATCAGATGTCTTTTATGACAAACTGGGTTTGCAGTTTAATTTACAAATAGAATTCTAAGTAAGCAGTCTTTGCTCTGCCAAAGCAAATGACAAACAGTATAGGTTTTCATTCACGCAGCCCTCAGCAGGATAGAAGAGATTAAAATAAAACTGAAATAATTTAGAGAAAACAAATAAATGTTTCAGAAAGTTGAAGAAGATCAAAGCCTGAATTTTCTGACCCCAACTGTACAAGCATTTCTTATTATATTGACCAGTGCCATCAGATCATTAATTAAAAGGAAAGCGCTGGCAGGTGGCAGGGAAGCAGAAGCCGATAATTGGCCCCCTTCTTCTTTTTGCCTTCAAAAACTCTCTCGTTCTTTTGCAAGACATGCCACTAGGCAGACAGAAATGCCTACTTTGTAATATAATGATTAAGATGAGATGAAGAGACTCTTGCGTTTAAAGCAGCTATGCCTAATGAATGCAGCTAGCTTTATAATTATGATCCTACTTCTACAATAAGGAATATGATGTTCCATTCAACATCTCCTCAACTGTCAGAAATGTAAAATCTCAAATATAGGGGTCTATAGTTGCTGCTTTTTACCCCCTTATTCTTTTTACAGCAGTTAGCAAAAACAGGCAAAAATAGCTACTAGTAATCCAAGCATCCATTTAAGAAGGAAGAAAAAAGAAAAAAAAAAAAAAGAAAGAAATATCTGTAAGACTCACCACTACAGCAGGTAGGTTGTTCAGGTCATTAAAAGGATTTTCTAGAGTGTTTGTGTCAACATTTAGCAAAACCACATCCTCCAGCGACCTATTTTTTACTCTCTGTAGAAGGAAAAAATAGTGGAAAAGCATTTTACTATGGCATTCTCCTGCATCCTCCTTTTTATTATAATGGCTAGATTAAAAATCTTGATTTTACAAAGGATAATAGTAGCACAGGCAAGATTTTGAGCTTTATTTGTAGGATCTGAATTAGACAGAAGAGTCAAAATAGATTTTAAAAACACTTCCTTTTCATCAAACATAAGGTTATGTTAATAACCTCTGAAGTACATGCATGTTCAAGAAACTAATTCTTGAAAACCAAGAATTACGTATAACAGTTAAGTATACTGTGTGTGTGTATATGTTTTTATAAGAACATTTTATTCTTTCATATTTGTGAAAATCAGTTATTAATCATATAATCATATTTAAAGCAGAGCAAACTAAGCAATTATTTGTAGATTTATCCAAGTTACAGGTATGTGATGTCTACAAGTATTAAAGAAGAATGGATGAAACAATCATCAATGGACTAGCAGGTAAGAACTACACCATTTCTTCCTTTCGGGGAAAAAAAAAAAAAAGATAAAACTCTTTTCTATATGGTCCTACAGTAAAACACACTATTATGGTCCAGAAAATAATTTCAGAAAGAATCATCTGAAAATGAAATCACTGAATTCTTTTCAGGTTTGTTATTTCTTGACAGAATATAGAAAAGGATCCTAGTCAAGATATTACAATCAATGTATATAGATCATAAGAACTAGGTTTGAGAGAACAGAAGGTTCTGCCTAGTTAAGAGGTATACGTGATAGAAGGCTCTTTTTTGGAAACACAAAAGTGCTAGGGGCTCAGTCTGGGGGAGAACCTACTTCATTGGTTTAGCAAATGGGAATTCATCCTCAGAAGTTGCTTTAGCGGAAGTATGAAACACAGCTCCTGAATGAATTATCTCTACTGCATTATAATCAGACTACACATGCAGGCCTAACCGTGTCATTAAACGGTTATGGAGAGACAAAGCTATTTATTTATTTATTTATTTTATGACCCTACTACTACTTAGCACTCAGGTGGGATTTATTATTTTGTTGTATGTTTAGATCTGGAAAGGCTACCTCTTGTTTTTTGATAAAAATTACTGTTTTCTAAATGAATAGTTATGAATGTTATGGGATTAATGCTAGACTCAAATTTTCAAAGGAGAGGAATACAAGTTAGCTAGGAAATCAGAATGATGATGGCCCCAGAAGAAGTTTTTATTACTATTATAGGAAAAATCTGTTATGTTGTTGTACCACTAAGAAAGACACAAAAAATCCTATAACTGAGCTATTAAATAGACATAGAAATAAATCATGAGGTAGAGCTTGTATATCTCAATAAAGCACTTCAAAAGTATTTCAAAGAGAGCCAATTTTATTTTTTAAAGCATCTGAAACTTAACTTCGGAATTTTGATTGTAAAAAACAGGGATTTTTTTTCTGTAGCATTTCCATTAAAATTATCAATTAGAGCACAAACACCTCATGCTTATCAGTACTCAGAAGTGTACAGCAAACTTACCTCTATTAAGCTTAAGTGGACGCCAATTAGATAAGGCATTGGTGCACTGAAGAAAAAAGACAAAACAATCAAATTATCTTTTAACTACAGCCATTTGTAAACCAAAACATATTTAAAATCTTGGCTTGTACGGTGTCTAGTTAACATCCACTGTGTAAGCTTGTATTAACTGTATACAGGTGCTCTTGAAATTATTACTAGCTGAAAGAAGATATCTTTTTTACTGTGTAATAAATTTCTCATTTCCAATTTGAATAAGACAAGGCATCATATTCTCAAAATAAAACAATTATCCACACAGACTCTGGAATGAGACCTCCTGCAGTATGCAAGCAGGAAAGTGAAGTAGTCAGGCTAATTTATCATGGTTTTCTATAATCTTCTCTTTCTTCCACTAAACTGATAAAGAATATATTCACTCTCCAGTGTTGGAAGGAAAAAAGCATCCAAGAATCATCGTCACATTATTTGGTGCTGTGAGATTACTAAAAATATTCCCTCCAGAGAAGTGAGCAATGGACAGACTGGTTCAAGCAACTCGGCAGGAAATGAAATATTAAGGGAGCAGAGAGAAAAAATAAATAAAAGTAAGGCCTAAAAACTAAATTGAAGGCAAGATCGCGTATATGAACAGTTAAACACATCAGCTCACATTGCATCTGTTTGACCACATCTCTGAGCCTTAACGAGGCACTGACTGCTTCGAGATTGACTTCCTGAGGCCCAGGGAGAGGCTTTGCTGGGCCAATTCCTGGGGCCTCACCAGTGCAGCCCCAACTCCGCGAAGGAAAGCAGCAATTCTCACCTGCCTACTGCTGCAGGCATTTTTAGAAAAAAATTACACTCACTATGGATTATCCATTTGCTTACATTACCAATGTCCAACAGGAAGGTACTGATTAAAACAAAACAAAAAAGAAAAACAAATGACAGATCAAACCAAGTTTTCAAAAATCAGGTTTGTTGAGACTGCAAACACTGATGGCTTCAAGGCATGGGATGTAGACATTCAAAAAGGGAAAATGGAGACCCCTATATCTTCTCATGTCTCGTTCTTAGCCCAGTGTCGAAAAATTTCAGTACCTCATGACCACTTCAGCTAGGCTAGGGCCTTATACCTTTGTGGTCTAAAAACAAATGGGTGTCCCTCCACTATATGCAGTGAGGAATTAGCCTAAAAACACTCTATAATTTCAAGAACGTCTAACTCTAGGCAATATGTATAAGAAAACAAATCTGAACAACTGTGGCTGACATGTCAGAGAGGATTCTTCTGCTGAATACTGAGCAAAACAGATCCTCCTCTCGTTCTTCACATCAGAATATCTTGGTCTTACAAGTAACATGAACTGGAGAAACTATGGTGAAAAGAAGTGCTATATCACCTACGTATTTTATGCACACTGCTCTAGCAGCTTCACCAGGCCTGTACTGACTTGTAATAGCTGATGATTTGTTCCATTAATAAATCTGTCATTAAAAAGGGCAGTGTGTAGCTCTTTTCTATAGAACAAAGCAACAGCTACATCATTCCAATTTTAAAATATTTACAGAATGAATGTACAAAGCTAATTAGATAAACACATCTTGAAAATGCATGAAATAAAAACTGCATGTATGGAAAGTCAATTTGATAATTTTCAGCAAACAACGAATTTGATTACTGCTGAACTCTGAAGCCCTAACAACAGAGGTCTGTAAAACGTACATAAAATTGCTTACTGTGATACTACTGGGAGCTGCTATATAGATTTTCTCTTGCTTATGCATGTTATTACCAAAAATGTTATTAATCCACAGCATCATTTCCTAAAATAATTACTATGCTATGCAAAACATGCAAGTTAATTGGAAAATAATTGTCCTATTCTCATGAAAACAGGCTTGCATATATCCCAATTCAGGAGAGACCAAATCACATAAAAAGGCATGCTACCATCGTCACTTGAATTTTCTAATTGCGTTATATTCTTAACAGAGCAGCAGCAGAACAGATGCTTTACCATCTACAGACAAAACCGTCATACACTCATATCAGTGACTTAGTTTGCCAAGAAATTACACTGAAATTTGGTGAAATTAGCTTTTTCCTTTACAAAAATTGATTTTATTCACATATAATTACTATAAGAATGCTCAGACTTAATTTCTGTAAGTTTCCTTGAAAGCAAGCCACCTAATGGGATGCAACCAATGACAAGCAACAATCTCTTTGCTTGCTGAAATGTGCAGAAGAAATCAATTTTTAAAAAAATATTCAGAAAAATGTATTTTTGAGAAACTGCTGTTCATTGTAGGAAACTTATTTCTGTGTGTTCTCTTCTACCAGAGCTAAAATGAGCAGTCCTTTCACTGTCTAATGTTTTGCTGTCCTTTAGAAAAAGGAATTGCTATCTTATTTTTTGTATGGTTGTTCCAATTTTCACATTGGAGTTCTCATAGCAGAATTTAAGGCCAAGTAAGTTATGCGAAGGAAAAAATGCTCTGAAGTCAATACACAGGATGTTCACACACAGGACTTTGCACGTATTCATAACCTAGCAAATCCTGGCATCCGGAGATCCATCCATGAGAATCCAGGCACTACGGTCCACACTGGTGCTCAGTGTTAGCGGGTTTGCATTAGTTAAAGAATATTTTTTTGGTTGTCTAAAACTTGTCCGTACATACGGTTGCCTGATAGAACCACAAGATCCTTTTTGGTTACAAAGCAAATTGGAAGAATGTAAATGATTTTTTAATACAGATATAGCTGTTTTGCTCAACGTTGTAGTTTGCTTATTTTCAAGCCCAGAAAATGTACCCCCATTTATCAATTTCTAAACCCCATTGAATTGTATTATTTATCTTTACCAAATGTTAAAGATTTATAGTTAAACTCATTTTAAAAAGCGTATTTCTCACAAAACATGTTTGGTTATTAAAAAGCAAAATAATTTGCAGGATCAGGATCTATACTTAAGCAGTAAATTTAGATGCATTTTATCTTTATTTAGAATTATCCATACTCCCTTAAAATGCCTAACATTAAAGGAAAGAATTAGCAGTTTGATATTTATTTAACGATTTAACTAACTCAGAATGTATTATTTCAACTGAGAGTAAACATGAGCTATCGCAACAATGTTTAAGTTAAACAAAGATAATCTAGTTTCTAAACATGAAAATTTACATTAAAAAGAAAAAAAAGATTACATTAAAAAGAAAAAAAAAGAAAAGGCACTTAAAAAATAACTTCAGTCTGTCAAAATAATGCATGAAAAATTAAAATATATAAAAACATTTAGAAAATTATTTCATTCATTTTGAATTTAGAAGATCCTCTAGGACTGCACACAAAGTAAAGTAACATACATTTTGATCCTGTAAATTCATCAAGCTTTTCCAATTTGATATATTATATACCTAACTGGAAAACATTTACTCATTGTTAATGTATCAAAACATGAGGAAAGTATTGTATGCTTTTATTACACTATTCCAATTTATCTCACAAAAGAACCATTCAAACCAACATGATCAGATAGAGAAACATAAACGCAGACAACTTCAGTAAAAAAAGTCTGAATTATAGTTACTGTGGTAAATTCATTAATTGGGCATTTCCTTTTGTGAACTTTTACGTCTCCATTTGAACATCTCTAAATAAAGGAAACTTTCTTCCCCCTTCTATTGTAATACAGTAAAAGAGAAAAAGGGATATAAATGAGTTTCACAAGTTTAAGAAACTCCATGCTTCTTTTTAATGAGTAAAGAATATTCTCAGGTCATGCCATAATGACCTAGAATCTCAAGTATTATCATCATCAGAAGGAGCTGTGTACAGCATCTAACATTATTATTTCTGAAAACATTATGTGTGCTTAGGAGGGGAAATAAAAAATCTTCTAGTATTCAGGATGCACTCTGCAGGGTACAGCTTGAATAAAGGTGTTGATCTACCTTCTGAGAACCGCATTTATGGGTGATACTGAAGAAAATAAAAAGCTTCTGGCAGTAACTTCAAGTAATACGAAAACTAAACAAATACATCCAAGCTATATCCCCATCTTGGTGCATTTTATCAAAGCTAGGAGGAAAAACAAGTAGGACAGAGTTTCTCCAGAAGAAAACTATCATTAAAGATGAAAGGCTTCGCTACTGTTGAAAGCAAAGGGAGAAGGGCTATTTTTGAAGACAACAAATAATATACAGATGAAGCATAGGAACTATCCTAGATGAAGGCATACCATATCTATTACATATATACCATATATAATAAATCTTGATCTGTAAAAATGTTTTAAATGGATCATTTCTCCATCACAGATCCATAGGGTCTATTTAGAGAGAAAGTCTTCAGGGACAGATACTCCTGTATTAGTTCCTTAATGGAAGTTAATTTGGTATCTCCGGCACTACTATGAGTAGAAGAAAGTAAATCTTTCATTAGCTTGAAATCGTAAAACCCAGGCATTTGGAACAGAAAATTTCCTCAAACTAGCCTGGTATAAGATGTAACGACCATCACAAAGGACAGAAGGACGAGAAGTGACTCAAAAAGTGACCATTTCTTTCCCAATTTCAGAATTTACCAAAAACATGAAGCCTGTCATGTGAACAGAAACACATCAGGAGAAGCATTTGTGAGTTCTTACAATAAAAAAAAATCTGGAATTATCAAAAGGAGATTGTAAGCAATTTGTGCAAGGTGTTGGATATAATCCTGAACCTGTCTTGGCCTAAAGTACAAGCATTAAATCTTTCTTTGGACCTAAGAGAAACAGAGATGTTTACTAAGGCTTGATTCCAGAAACATCCATCAGTATTTTCTGAATGCTTGTACCAGAATCACCTCCCTCAATTTAAAGTAAACATCAAATAAATGAAAACTTTAAGACACTTGCATTTAAATTACTGAACATAGCAATAAAACATGACCAGTTACTATAAACAGGATTCTAAATGCTCTGTTGATAGTAATCAGCACTGTAATTGAAGGTACCAGTTCAAAACCAATGTAAAGGCATGCTGAAATATCTCTGTTCACGTAATCATTTAAGCATTGACTTAAGCACTTTCATAAACTGGAACCTGCACGTTCAGTCACATCAGTAGCTTCTGTTTTCGTGAGTTACTTAGAATTATAAGACAGGTATAAATCTCAGAAGTGAGGATAACGGGTTAGTTATCTTACCAGCAGTAGTCCAGGAGATGTGGAGGAAGCACTGGGATGTAAATGTGTTGCCAATACATTGGATACAACAATGCAGCTGACGCATGAACACAAGCAGTTAACTAAAAACAAAAATGCACACACAGAATTGGCAACAAAAGTAATATGAAAAATAAAAATACAGAATCTTAAATTAACTTTTAGACATGTCAGAACCTTAACATCCCCAAACTGCCTATTATACCGTTTGAATTACTTTTAATTACTTAAATGCATCTATGAAAAAAAACGATATATGCATACAAGTACAACATCTGCAAAAAGTCAGACAGACAAGTCAGTTAAAAGTCAGCCCTGCTGACTCTTCTGAAGAAAAAAATAAGCATGCACTTGTTGATGTTTATCATGGCCAACAAGCCCAGGTATTGTCACAAACGTGCAGAACTTGAGCGTGCCCCTGCAGCCCAGCTCTGCTGAGCAGGAAGGGCAGGGGAAGGGACCCACATTTCCAGTGTTCAGAACGAATTGAATTGATTTGGTCTTGCACGAAGCCACGCCAGTGCGCTCAACTCAGGAGTAGGATTAAGTTCTATTTCTGTCACTATCTTTATTTCCAAACCACCTTTAAAAAAATCTAAGTGAATATTCCCTGTGACAGCAAAACAACTTTATTACAAGTTTCCAAAATTGCCCATCCCCTCTTCGCAGTTACCCAAAACAGAAACTGGCAACAAAACTGGCACTAACATCACCAGAAAATGAAGACTCCTTGATCAAGAGAAAAAGCGTTACAATTTGCTCACCACTCAAAAAGGGCATGTGGACATGGCTGGTTTGTTTTCAAATAAATAAAGTTAAAACATAAAACGAAAAAGCACTACTACAGAACTGATTAGTAACTAGGTCTTCTTCAGTTCTTGAGCGAAAGAAATAATTTGCAATACACAGAGAATTCAGATTTGATCTCTCAAACACTGTGTTACTGTTAGGAGTTGCTCAATTTTGTTTATGTTACTAAGCAGCCACAGAGCCCATGGAATGAGAAAATACCAAGACCCATGTTCAAAACAAGATAGCCTATATCCAGCACATAAAACACTGGAAACCTCACAAAAATAAATAACAAATAAAAACCAAGCAAATCAAACACACCACTACCACCAAAAACAAAAACAAAAAAACAAACTTGGACCTATTGGGACGAGAAGTGTGTTCAAAACAGCGTTTATGAAACCCAACCATAAGGCTTAACACAATCTCTTCAGGGCACAACAGGTCATACCCAGGGAACAATTTGTGCTATTGATGCTATATTGTCCTTCTGCTTTACTTACCTCCGTCATCTAATTCAGTCTGTGAATAGCAGTACACACAAAGGGAATGCCCCATGCAGAAGACTCCAAGCTTATGGAAGAAGACAAGTCTGTCCTAATGCTTTATATCACAACAAAATTACTATCTGAGGTTAACTTGATTATTACTGCTCTTTATTGGACATGTACTTTTATTGCAGCAAAACGAAGAGCTAAAAATAAAATGTAAATCCTATCCATACAGCAAGTGCTAAAATATTATGGATTTTACAGAAAGAAAAAAAAAATCCCTGTTGGTGGAACAGATCAGCAGTTAAAGCTTTCACACCCAGGCTGTCTTGTAAATAAAAATTATGCTGTAATTTTGTATATATATTTTTACACTAAAAAGGAAAAAAATAATTATAAGAGCACTGCAACAGAAAGCACAGACAATTACAATTTGTGCGGCATAGTTTGCTCAGCACTCAGATTAATATAACACGATTAAATATGGAAAAGAAGAGGGTCTGAAAGCTCCTGAGGGATATCATTAGGGCAAATTGCCAAAGAATGAAACATGAGCCAGTCAGGAGAGCCTGGAAGCTGCAGTAGTACCAGGGGACCTGAATGTTCGACAGTTGGAGCTTCAGCAATGTGTGAACTGCAGGTTAAGGCATCAGGAGAGGCTGCTCACTGACACGCAGAATGTCACTATTGACCAGCGCGCTGCCCGAGCCTGACAGCTCTGCTACAGAAAGCCAAGGATATCATAATTCCGTACTTAAACTGCTCATTTCAGCTTAACATTTTGTTTCCTAGCTTTACGTCAAACAGCTGCAATTACTCTCAGTTTAGACTTAACAAAAAAAGGCTATTTTAATAGTTAGTGTTTTGTTACTAAGAATTAATTGAATTGGGGGATGAAATAAATGAACACTTACCCCTCTTCTACACAGTGGGATTTATGAGTTTTATTTCCATATCCTCTCTCTCTGTAGTTTAGCTCTTATAACTGATAGCACAAATCAAGCTCAGTATTATGGCTTTTGGTCTTTTAGTAATTCCATAAGCATTCTGAGAAATTTGTGTGTCCACATACTGCTCTTTAGAGTATATAAATTTCAAACCACAATACAAAAATTAGCATGTATTTCAATCACAAACTGCCATAAAGCTGAGCGCAGAGTTATATGGGAGATCCCCCAATGTATATATACTCCTCCTCCTATTAATAGGCATTCATAAATTATGAATTAACATGACAATACTTTTTGCATAAAGAAATATTTTTCTCTCTTATGCATATGTCCACTGTTATATTTTAGCTCTCATTTTAACAGAGGAAGCAGGTAAGTCCATTCAAAACATTTGAAGTTTTCTTAACTGCTGTTTTAGAATCTGTATTTTGGTATGGCATTCGGACTGGCATTTATGTAACATTAAATATATATATATATATATATGTTAAATTTTAGCATTTCTAGGAGTTAAGGTAAAGAGTTGATTACTTAATTGTCAAATATTTCTTTACACTACTTTGGTAGGTGTCCAACCATTTTAATTTGACATTAATATGTTTTATAGTTTCCTGGTGTACACAGCTTGTAACAGAAGCAGCTAAGGAATACTGCTACTCTTCAAACTGTGACATTTTTAATACCGTGCCAACTCTGCCTTTAAGCAGATACTGATATGATAATTGTAGATTTCATATAAAAATATTTCACGCTTTCTGGTAAATTTTCTTTTTGTGTTTTTTAGTGTTTCAACAGTGACTGCATTTCTCCAAGGCATTAGCTATTTAAATAACGTACTTTTTAATTGTCATACTTACTTGCAGTTATAAATAGAAGAAAATGGGGAATACTAAAAATCTCTGAATAGTGCTGCAAGTCCTAAGTATTTAGTATTTAGTATCCGGTTTAAGTGAACTGAAAAGCATGCAAGAGCAGGTAGAGCCCAACTGCTTGCATAGGTTCTCAGGGGTCTATAAAGGTGACCACCAGATTTGGGGAGGGGATGTCTGACAGCAGCTGCACTTGGGAGCAGAGCCAGCGAGAGCATGAGCAGGCACCCTGCGGGAAGCTGGAGGAGGAGAGGGAAAGGCAGACAGCGCAGCACAAGCTCCAAGGTGCAGAAATGAGCATCTGTTGCTTGACCAAGTAGTGAGAAGTCTGACTGGTGAGATCTTTATGCTACTTAGAGAAAAAGGCATTTGTCTGGAGCCTGTGTGTTGACAATCCACCTTTAAGCACATTTTTAAGAGAAATGGCATAGATTAGAAAAAATCTCTTTTTGAAGACAAATAGTTGCTATCCTAAATAATAAGGTCATCTTCAAGGCTGTGTACAACCTTACCTATTATGCCAGCTACTACTGGAGATTAGATAAGCTTGCATATACAAAGAGAAAGCATTTCTCCAATACAATTTGCTAAATTCTTAGGTATTCACAGAAACATAACATTGCCAAAGTCTGCGGTTTGTTAAAAAATCTTATGTTTTTTAAGAATGCAGCAGAACATTTCTGCATGGACTAGTTACTGCATATTTGATAGCTCACTACACAGTTTGAGTATGCAGCGACTGATGTTGAGATACACTTCAACAGTCCACTGCACTGGAAAGAAAACACGTAGCAATGCTGTGTTTTAAACCATAATAAAACGGGCTGGCAATTTTTAAATAAAGCTTTTGTCTCTTGAAAACCATTTGTCAACACTGAACAGATTTTTTTAATGTTTCCAATATTTTTCAATTTTTTAGACAGTTTTTCTTCATTTCAAACAATTTCATCTAGATTAAAACTTTTATTTAATATAATTAGGGCTTTAAAAATTGGTTGAAATAGGTGGGGGTAAAAAATTGTCTTAAACAAAAGGATTTTAAATTACATAACTCAAGTCAATGGATCTCAGCTAGCTTAGAAACAACTTTTAACAAAACACAAAAAAAAAATTTCCCATGTTAATGAATTTACTGACATTGAGTACAACAAAGTTTCAGCTTGTTTCTGATCTATTCTACTAAGACACTCTAGTCAGCATAACCATATAAGCTTTCATCACCCTACAAGAAAAGCATGCGGTGTTTTATCTGGAGCACTGCAGTGATTCCAGCACAATAATTTTATCTTTCTCTCCTGAAAAAAACATGTGAGAACTATGTGCTGGCAGATAATACTGTCTCTCCAAATAGTGGAAGAACACATTACAAAGTCTGTTTGCAAAATTCATTACTGAGTGAAAGTAAATTGATTACTATGAACTTGCAGCAAGACTATAACAATGCACAAGGAACTCCTTTCCACCTTATGGCAGTAAGCAGCCGCTCAGGAACAACTGTTGTTCCAAATCTACACTCTGCTGAACAGGAGCAGTCTGAACAGTTAGTTCAAGCCTTGAACTAAAGCAGCTTTATCTGCTCCTGGAAACACGGAGACTGCAGCTTCTCCACTCCCATCTCTCATGTAGCTGTAATAATTCTGATGCATGTATCTGCTACACACAATATTCAGTATTCAATTTAGCAATGAAGCTTTCAGCTGTAGATTTTAAAATGAGTAGTCTTTTTTTTTGCTAAGAACCCTACAGCATGTCCAGAACAGAAAGATTTTCTGCAGACTTGCTTATTATGTCTACTTGATACCTATTATTTACAAAATTTCAACGAGTAACATGAAAACAATTATTCAGTATCTTGCATAAGATATTTTCTTTTGCCTGACGCTTACTTTCTATCTATAAAAATCATTTTATTTGAAGCAGTTTCTGTAACCAAAGGTAGAAAGAGAAGCAGAGCACAGGTGACCAGATTTGCACATGCCGC